AATAAATAAATAAATAAATAAATAAATAAACATTAAAAAATTTTAAAGGGACACTTGAAAAATATCAAAAGAAAAAAAGATGAACTTCTAAGTCACCCATACAAACAGGAACACAAAGTTATTGTACACTGTGTTCTCCCCAGCCTGATCCTGACTCATTTACTCAAAACCAAGACTGCCCTCTTCAAATACAAAGTGATGATTCAGGCTCACTCTTCATTTGGGGTAAGAGAAGCTGCTGACCAATGCTATGCAACGAACATGGCAGTAGTATTATCCATAGAGCCAATTCTGGCCTGGGCCCTCTCTTCCTCATCTCTCAAATGCTAATACCAGCATGAAAAGGAAGTGGGGTTAGTCTCTTTGACCTTGGCCAAAAATTCCAGAACTTTCATCTTGCTGGTTTCAGCATGGGCCCTGGGACCCCACAGGAATTAATAATATGGAAGATCATGATTAGGCATCTGCTGATACTCCAGGTAATTCTCCTGAACCCAATATTTGGTGATGAGCTTCCTGGGCTCCCCATAAATGAAATGCTCCCTCTCAGCATACATTCCTATCATATTCAGGAAATCCCAGATGTCTTCCTCAGGGACACTGTTCCCCCCCATGAAGATCACACCCAGGATGATTATCAGGAGATTGTTTCCAGGCATGTTCTGGTTGTCACTAAGCATCTTATGATGGGTAAGGAGGTCCAGTGAGTTGACAGGGACATAGGAGTGGATGGTGGGGTCCATTTCCTTCACATAAATGCCAAAGATCACCTCTAAACACTTAGAAGCTTTATTAAAGATCATAGAGAAATGTTTCCTGTACCTTTTCATGATAACCATCAGCATTTCTGCCTGTGTGACGGGCTCCTGCAATCGGTACTTAAGGATCATGAAATTCACTAAATCAGCTACCTTCTCATCTAGTGGGTCTGTAGGCAAAGATTCGGTGTCTGTTGAGGTCTGCGGGAAACTTGTATCTTCTTCTTCTTGGCTATTGGAGCCTCCTTCTGATGTGCTCCGTGTTACGGAGAAGAAGCAGGGGCTCTGAGGGTTCTGGGGAGGACTCAGTGTTGTGGCGGGCTCCTTCTCAGGCTCCTCCTCCTCCACCTCCTTCTCCTCTTTGGAAACCGGGGTCACAAGAGAGGAAGGCAGGGAGGAGGAGGTGGAGGGATAGGAGAAATTGAAAGATCAAGAGGAGGAAATCTCCTCCTCCTCCTCCTCAGCTGTGAGAACACGGGCCACCGCCAGGCCCTGTATCTCAGTTTGGGCCTGAAAGTCTGGCTCAAATGTGAGGCGCAGACATTTTGGAGAGTGAAACATGATGACTCTACTTGGCAACAGCAAGTAGAAGGTAGAAGTGTGAGTGTGATGGTGGGAGATCAGGTACCACAAGCCTGGAGAGAGAGGGAGAGGGGCAGCGGCCTCAGCAGAAAAAGATACTTTTGGCAGCTCTGGACAAAGGATGACTTACAGGTCTTCTCTTTAGGGGGTGCTCTAGGGCCCCAAAGGGCTTCTGGACTTATCATAGGAAGTGAAAAATCTCCCCAGGTTATAAGCAACCAAGAAAGCCTAGGGATTTACGGGTTGATGGTAGGCAGATGGGATCGGCAACTGTGGGCTCCCCTCTGTTCTGGCATGAGTAGATCCCTTAGTAGACATTCAGTGTCTACACCTTGAATCCTGGCACTGCCTGGGAGCCCTCTGTTCTGCTGACTGGAGGACACATGCTTTAGAACAAGGCCTTCACCACCCAGTTCCTGGAGCCCCTGTAAAAGGAATTGAGGGGCACCTCTGGATACAGATGGCAACCAGAGCCTCCTGTGTTCTAGGATGGGAGGTACCTTCAAGCCAAGATCCCCATTTCCTGAGACCCCAAAGAGGATATAAAGAAGTGGGATTATCTACCTGAAGGCCCTGCCTGGGACTTCTTAGGACTGAAAGTAAGAATGGGTTTCTGAGAATCTTCTCTGGAGTGGGAGATCCCCTCCGCCTTCCCTCAGAGTCCTCTTCCTGATGCTTGGTCGGGCCTGTTACTTCTCCCTCTGCTAATCTGAGGCTACACGCCTCAGAGAGAACCTCACCACTTTCAGCCTCCCAAGATGGAGGTACAGATACAGCACATCCAGCTTCTCTGCTTGGGGCCTCACAAGGCTAAAAGGGACAAAGCAGTCTTGGATCTCCCTCTACGTGGAGTGGAAGGTCCCCTAAATCTTCCCTCTTAATCATCAGCTTGATGCTTTGCAGGGCCTGGGACTCTTTTCTCTTGTGTACTGAGCCAGGCCCCTGCACAATAAGATTCACACTTCTCTGACAAGCCCCCTCCCCCACCCACTCAGATGGACAACTGGAAAACTCACCCCCATCACACATGGCTAAGCCTGGCTCAACTTCCCAGGCTGAGAGCATGTTAGGACTGAGTTCTGTGGGGCCCATTGTGTTCTAGGATAGCAGGTGCCCTTAGTTCCCTTCAAGATGTATATTTTTGCCCTGTCTGGGCCTGAACTCTCTTTCACAGAACCAATGATGAGTCCCTCAGGCCAAGATTTCCATGTCCATATGATGCATGAAGAGGTAAGGAATGAGTCTGCTTGATACTCCTGCCTGGAGTGTGCCAGGGCTAAGAGCAGGGGCATGGCAGTGCCTGGAAGCCCCCTATGTTGAAAGGTCCCCTGAGTCCTCTCTCAAAAGTCCTCACCTTGAATCTTGGCACTGCTTGGGCCCCCTTTCCCTGCTTGCTTGAGTGTGTCCTCCTCAGACCAAGGCACTCACTTTCTTGAGATGATCAGGCAGCAGTGAGGGTCCATCACATGCATACACCTTGTCTCAGGGCCTCTGAGAGCTGTCAGCCTGGGCAAGGTGAGACTGAAGCTCATCACTCCTGGGTGGTGGGTTCCACCAGTCCTCACTCAAAGCCCATACCTTGACTCCTGGTGGAGCTTGAGCTTCCTCCCTCTACTGACCTGATTTTGCCCCCTCTGACCAAGGTTCTCACCTCTCCTGGATACTCTTGGACAAATCGGATGCTGCTGCTTATAGCCACCATGTCCCAGGGCCTATTGGAGCCAACATTGGGAGGGAGTACTGAATTGTGTGAGGCCCTCCTTTGTTCTGTGGTAGAGTACCCTCCACTCTCCCTCAAAATACTAATATTCAAACCTGGCAAGGCCTCAGCTGCACTACTCTCTACTAACTTTAATGTGGCCATCTCAGCCAAGGCCTCACCTTTCTAAAATACTACTCATCACTGATAGAAGTGAGAGAACAGTACATCTGCCACCTGCCACCACAGGTCCAAACATTGCAGACAGTAGGTTCAGGGCAAAGTTTCTGTGGGACCCCATCTGTTCATAGTGGGAAGTCCCATTACGCATCTTCAAGGTCACCGTATTTCCTCCTGGCAAGGTCTGCACTCCTCCCTCTGCTGAGGTAAGGATGTGTCTCTCAGGCCAAGGCACTCATCTCCTTTGTCAAGGTGAGGACTACAAGGGAGGAATTAGGGGATCTCCTACCCTGTATGAGGGAGATCCAGGACTTCTTTGCTCCTGCTTTCACAAGAAATCATGGTCAGAATTATGACAGAGGTGTCTTCTGCCTGGAATCCATGCACAAGTCTTCTCAGAGATGACCTCAGAGCGAGTTTCTGTGAGGTGAAATGTCTCCTTTGTCCTTCACTTAGGTCTTCATCTATGTGCAGCTGCAACCCCTTAGTCTGCTTAATCCAATGAGGCCCCATTCAAAGAGTGTCTCACATCTCTCCGACTCCCAAAGTGGAAGACAGAAAATGTATTCAGGGACCCTCCCTGAGGCCTCCAAGACTGACTGTAGGAGGGAGACAGCACTGTGTTACACTCTATGTGGTGAGAGGTCCCTTCACCTATTCCTCAGAATCCTTACCTTTGCTGACCTGACTCTGCACCATCCCTCTTCCCCTTGAGGATATTCTTCTCTTAGACTCCTGAGATGAAGGTCAGGAACCAAGATGGAAGCCAGGATGCACCACAGCTAGTTACCTCTACCCAAACATCCTAGAGCTGACAGTACAGACAGGTGTGGATTTTGTGGACTGCTCTGTGTTCTAGGTTGGTAAATACCCTGAGTCATCCTCAAGGTTTTTCTGTTTACTCCAGACAGGGCCTGAACCTTCTTTCTCTGCTGGCCTGAAGATGTCTCCCTCAGGCCAAAGTCGCCATTTTTCTGAGACTCCCAAAGAATAAGAGTAGGAGTCAAGAGTTTCTGCCCATCAGCCCTGCCCAGGGCCTCCCAGGGCTGAAAGCACGAGCAGGTGTTTGGGGGCCCTCCTCTGTCTGAGGTGGGAAGTCCACTCAGTCCTTGCACAGAGTCTTCCCAGTGACTTCTGGCAGGGCTTGGGTCCCTCACCTTGCTGACCTCAAGCCAGGCCCCTCTGAACAAATCCCTCACCCCAAGTAAAAGAAGGCCCAACGTTCACCACCATGGCTGAAGGCTGCCCAATGCTGCCAGTGTGTGGGGAGCTGGATTCTGTGAGGCCTCCTCTATGTGGGGTGGGGTTTTCCACAGTCACCCTTCAGAGTCCTAATCTTGATGACTGGCACATCATGGGGCTCCACAATTCTTCCAAAGATTACAGTGTGGCACAGGGAAAAAGGGATAAGTTTACTGTGGAGAAATCCGACATTCTGTCATCAAGCTAACATCGTTACTGATAAATCATGTTGACAGTGCACCGTGGATATGGTGTGACAAGAATGGAGCTTCACCTCTCTGGTCTTCCTCCCCAAAACACCTAATCCATGTCTAATATTGAGGAAACTATCAGACAAATCCTAACTGAGACATTCTACAAAATCCTTGACCCGTATTCCTAAAAACTGTTGAGGTTATCAAAACAAGGACATTCGGACACTGGCACAGCCAAGAGGAGTCTAAAGAGATGCGGTCATTAAAAGTAATAAGTTGTCCTGGAGGGGATGCTGAACAGGAACAAAGACACGTGGCGAAACACAAGGAAATCCGAATAAAGTGTGGACTTTTGTAAATAATTGTGTATCAACGGTTGTTCATCAGATATAACACAGGTACCTTACTAATGCGAGGTGTCAGTAATATGAGGGACCGAGATTGGGACACATTGAAATTTCTTCACTATTTCTGCAATTTTCATGTAAATCTAAAACTGTTCTAAAATGAACTCCTACAAACCTAAAAATATGTTAACAAACTAGGTAAAGTATATGTACAAAAAACCTATAGCAAATACCAAACTTTCGAGGCAAAGTGAAAAGCTTTTACTTTGAACTTGGGAACTAAGCTAGGGTTCCTGCTATCACCATTTCTTTTTTTTTTTTTAATGTTTTATTTATTTTTATAAGAGAGAGAGACCACGAGTGGGAGAGAGGCAGAGAGAGGGGAGACAGAGGACCCAAAGCGGGCGCCGTGCTGACAGTAGCAGAGGGCCCCATGTGGGGCTCGAATTCACAAACCGTGAGATCATGACCTGAGCCAAAGTCAGACGCTCACCGGACTGAGCCACCCAGGCGCCCCCGTCGCCATTTCCATTCAATGCTGTAGTAGAAGTAGCAGCCAGTGCAGTAACACGAAGCAGAAGTAACAAAAAGGAAAGGGATCGGAAAGTAAGAAATAATGCTTTCACGATAAACAGATGATTAGACTGTGTACGAGGAAAATCCAAAAAGGAAAAAAAAAGAAAGCTAAGCTATTCAACCCATGAACATGTACATAAGTTTGCTAATTATAAGATCAATACACAAAAAAATGAACTTTGCTTTCTGCCAGCAACAAATGTGTGAAAATGAAAGTGAACAAAATATAACTTGTAACCTATAATACTAAATCGTTGAGTATCTTAGAATACATTTAACAAGAAAAATTGACTTTCACAGAAAAAAACATTTAAAAATATGCAAATGTTATTTAGATAAATTCACAAATCCCTCTGTACATATTGAATAAAATACATTCGTGGATGTAAAGATTCAAATCTGTGAACATTTTGGTTCTCACAAAGAAGAAAATGCAGCTTAACTGCAACCCCATATTTAAAAATAGGAAAGGGCTTCGTGTGTGAATATTTGTGTACATGATACCATGGATGATTCTGAAATATAAAGGCATACAAATAGTCAAACAGAGTCAAGATATTCTTGAGAAAACGAGAAGACAACAGCTATTACTCTGCCAGATGGAAAGAAGTACAAGACAGCTCCAGTAACCAAGTTTGTACTTTGGGTGCAGGGACTGACAAGGAGACTAGTGACATTGAATCATGAGTCCTGGAAACACACACACACACACACACACACACACACACACACACACACACA